TTATTCACTTGTTTGTATACCAGCACTATGTATTTTTTTGAAAGATAAAAGTAAAACAAAAAAATGCAAGTTCATGGCTGTGAATTCCATTATTTTAACTATGGATCAAGTGTTACCTCATATTTTCTTTTTAATCAGTCCCAATTCTGATATTTTAACATCACCTGCATAATTTTATGCATCTCTATTATATACTCTTATGTGCTAGTTTTCTAAAGTAAACTGTAAATATTGATGGTGTTGGCTTTCCTTCTTTGAACTTGATGGCATAGGACCTAGTTATCTTCGAGATCGTCTTCTGCCACCGACGACCTCCCATCGACCCGTGCGCTCCTACAGAGAGGGCCTCCTCGGGGTGCCATCAGCCAAGCAATGCAGGCTGGTGACCCCCAGGGGGAGAGCCTTCTCTGTGGGGGCTCCCACCCTCTGGAATCAGCTGCCCCCAGAGATAAGGAGAATCCAAGACCTCCGTGCCTTCCGCCATGCCCTTAAAACTTACCTTTTCCAACAAGCCGGGCTGGCCTAACAAATCCTTTAAATGATTTTAAATTTGTTTGTCTTTTTAAATTTTGGGCCAAATTGAGATATTTCCTTTTAATCTGTTCTTAATGTATTTATTATGTGTTTTTATTTGGCTGTACACCACCCTGAGTCCCTAGGGAGAAGGGCGGTATATAAATTTGAAGTAAAATAAATAAATAAAAATTTCCAAGTTTTAATTAATCTCTGATTCCACTCTATTAAATGAGTCTTACACAAATCTTAATCACTGTTTTTCCCAGGCATTATGGAGAGTAAGTATTAGGAAAAAATAATTTCCTTGTAAAGTATATGGGAGTTTAAAAATAATTTTCAGCCAATACCGTTGCTATTTTTGCCTTATATAATGGTTTTCCACTTAATCTAAGCCAAAATTGAAGTATTCCTACTGAAGAAAGCAATACTTGTTAATCATAAAGATGTTTTATAGGTAAATTATTTAAAAAATGAGAGTAGAGTAGAATAGAAAATATTCAGATATATGTTTGCTTGCATTCTCAAGTATTTAAGCTTGCAAATAAATCTTGAATAATGTGTATGACTCACTTTGTTGTTAATGTTCATAACAAATGAATCAAAAAGCTTTGCACCTGGAACCAATTTTGATAGAAATTTTAGTTCCTGATCCTAATCCAACACTGCTGGACCACATTGGCTCTGTAGCATCACTATCATGCAGAGTTCAAGTTTATTTATAAGTGGACTACATATTTAGAATAAGATATCCTCAGAAATACTGAATTTAAGAAGATTCTGATATTGGAGACAGGTGCATTCTACTGTAAAATCCATTATAAGCATTTAATTTAGAGTATATCAAAGCTGACGTTTAAGATTAAGAAGTTATCACTTCTATAGCAATTTGCAGCTTAATTCTTTTCACTCTTGTTCCAAGCCACTTCCACAAAATACCTACTTTCCATTCATTTTGTGGGAAGATTCATCTACTTTCTCATATCTTCTTTTCTTTCCACAGTTACTCTTTGGCACCCCCCATCACAATCTTTTTCACAAGATGTGTACTTGACATCACTAAACAATGGTCTGTCACACATTCAGATCCTCTTATCCTCCTTATCTTCTCAATCTTTCATAACAATAAATTTAATCTTTCATAATAAATTACAACTCCATCATACTTTATATTCATTTCTCTGTTATGCATATAAATGAATATTCTTATGGTTAAAATACATTTTCAAAACATGCCCTTTTCAAAGCAGATATTTAGCAAATAATCAATTGTACTTGTTCTTGGGTCTCTAAATGGCCTAGTTAATTTTGCTGTATTCTCTTTGACATTTATACTGCTTGCATGCTGCCCATTCCCTCTGTTTGTAGGAAGCCAATATCCATCTACGTATGTTACTCCATTAAATAATTTTTAATTCCAGATCACCTGTACTGGAAATGTTGCACTATTTTTCCCCAAAACTCATCCTTTGTTCTCTTATTAACACTATAGGAGTATAACTACATTAACGCTCTAGGAACATCATTTTTTTTTCCATTTCACTGGAAAAAAGTTGCCCAAAGTAGCCTCAAAACTCTGCTGTTTGCTCAACTGTTGTTATAGAGAATCGACTCCATGAAATATTACTTCCCTAAAAAACAAGTGGTAAGAGTTTTTTATAAGATTATTTTCCCTAAAAAAAATGGTGAGTTTTTTGTAAGATTTTACCTTGATTCATTACTGCTTTCATGATAATTTCTACGAACATGTTTTTCCATATTATTAATTCTTTAGTATAGTACATTCTATCACAATTAGTGCTGTTATTAAATGTTATACATTGTATTATTGGTTTTATCTGCAGCTATTAACTTTAATTTTTATAATAAAAGTTAAAATTACAGAAAGTTATCATGTATATAAATAAAGTCTAGAAATAATTGTCATCTGGAATTAAATAAAACAAAACCATCCAAGACTATTATACTGTTCAAGATATGTTCTAAGACAGAGACCCTGTTTGATCAAGCAGTCAAGGCAACAGGCTAGGAATTAGAAACTGTGAGTCCTAGGCACAAAGCTAACTGGGTGATGCTGGCTAGTCACTCTACCTTAGCTCTAGGAAGCAAGCAATAGCAAACCATTCCAAAATGTGCCAAGAAAATTGCAGAGATTAGTCCAGGCAGTCACCAGGACTGACTCAACACTGACTCAAAGACACCAAAAACAAAAAATGTCCTGGGATATAGACAAAACTTAGTTGTAATGAAACCCTTTTCACAAATGATCTATGATGGTTATGTCTGGCAATGCATACTAAATATAGAGGGGAAGTAGACTAAATTACATTTAAATTTGATTAAAACTAAAAAATAAAATACTTCTTTAAATAATAGAATATTGTTCAAGTATTATAAACATCTTTCTCCATATTAAAAATTAAAACTCAAATACAGGTTTTGCACAGGGTCTGAGGACTACATCAAAGGCATTTGAGGTCACATAGTAGGCTCAGGCTGCAAACTCTGCATTCCTAATTTTGTAATTTATCCTAAAGGTTACATATTCCAAAACTTAAGGGGAAAATGACTAATAATTGTATCCATATAGTACATTAACAAAGCTAGCAATGATACTTTCTATTAGAATAAATTATTCCTCTTTTATGTCCTGAAAATAGTTTCTAAATATACATGTTTATTGAGAGTTAAGTCCCATTCAGTACAGCTTACTTCCTGACAAATTTATATAGATTAGAGCTTAAATATTCAAAAACTTTTACGTATTATTTAGTCCAAAACCATACTATGTTAGAAATGTGCTTCAATCAATAATGCTGAAAATATTACTGATTTCCATGAAACTTGCTCGGAACTTATTCTGATCATATTTCACTGGAAATTATATCTTTAAAAAGCATTTCACATTAAATAATGTAGTTTTACCTATTCTCATATTAAGAATCTGTCTTTTTATGTAGCAAAGCTATCAACTGGAGTCCTGAACTATTGAGAATTGATCCCAAATCTTCCAGAATTCCAGAATATGGATATATAGATTTGTGCTATTATGCAATTTCCATTTGGAAAATCAGAATTACTCCTTAATTCTGTAACCACTCAGTTTACAAGGTGATTTAAAGGTTTTGGAAGAATAACAAATACATTAATACTTTTAAAATTAATTATCCAAAGTATATTTAAAGCACATTATTTAGCTGTAAAGTATTAAATAAAAGTAGATTTTTTTTTTTAAATAATAAGAACATATTTCATCCTTTGTTTGGGATTTGTATGCAAAACAGAAAACATAACACACACACACACACACACACACAAAAACCCCAATTGAGTACAGTAAGGATAATCTAATACAGATCTTGAAAGTAGTACTTCCCAAATTTTAATCTCAGATAGATGGTTTATAAGCGTAGCAGGAACTTGGTAATTATTAGAATGGGTCCCACTGGATATAAGGATATGTCAAACGCACAGAACTGAACTGTCAATCCCTTTCATTTAAAAAAATATGTTTAAACATTTAAATCAATAGAATTTTAAAGTTTAGACATGGACTGGATTGAGTTAAATGTATATAATGAAAGATTAACCAAAATCTTAATTCCATTAATTGTAATAGTTTTTCAGTTATAAAATATACAATAATACTCCATTAATAAAATGTTAATTTTAGAAAATGAAGTAGAACATGAAATATCTCCTTTTAAAAACATATATGGGATTTATCTATTCAATGAACCATTTAAGAATAATGCTGTAATGATTTCTGGAAATAATACAACTAAGCAAATTTTCAGCATTTTTTTAATCCAAATAAAACAAATCAATTTTCATACTATATAAATTTAGAAAACAGTCTATTTTAATGCTTTGTTTTTAAATTATATTCACTATTTATAGATTTACTTCTGCCTAAATATCTTGATAATTACAGCTGTGATATCAACAATAATATACAAATAGAAATAAAAACATTTATAAATATGTTCACTTGTACTCACAAATTTGTATGAAAACTGTTTTAAGAAACTTAATTTTAATACATGACACATCACATCAATCATGTTTCAAAAATCAATCAGGAATAAAATAATTCAAGGCTTGATTCACGATATTTCATACATGTGCTACAGTAAATCATAAACTATTCCTCTTTTATGTCCTGAAAAGAGTATCTAAATATACATGTTTATTGACCATTAAAATCCATTTAGTTCACTGAAACTTACTTCCTGCCAAACAGTTACAGATTCCATCTTAAATATTCAAATCCATAGTTAAAATTACAATGAATCTAATTTAATCTATTGTTAACCAATTATTATTGTGGCACTTTTTCTTTCAGATATAGCAATTACAGATACAGCCAGTAAAAACATTCTTCATCAAGTGATTAATTCTGCCACCATCCAAACACAAGAGAAGTAACTTTTTCTGTTCTACAATTTTTATCCAGAAATAATATAAAAAGAAGACTGATCTCACACCTGTGTTATAAAAGGTTAATCCCCAAACTTCTGGTGGGCAATAGTAGAAATCCCATCTTCAACACTGCTTGTTCCTTTTCAAGCACACAGTGGTTTCTTCCAATTGCATGTTCTGGTCTTTCCCACTGACAGTTAATAAATAGTGAAAGGAGAATGTAAGCCAGGAGAGGAGAAAATATAAAAAAGAAATGCTTTTCTTTAAGAAAATATTCTGATGTATTCTTGCTTCACAGAAGATCTCAGGATGCATCTTAGAAGGGGCTCCTTGGAAAGTTTTTTTAATAATATTTTATTATTGTAATTGTTATTTTATGATAATTAATAAGGAACTATCATTCCTAGTTTCCACTTTGACTTTTTAATCAATTTAAACATCATAGTTTTTAGCCTTTAAAAGTTAATAACGGCAGTGTTATGAAGATAGAAAAGGAAAATTTATATTCTTATTTCAAATTTTAAAGCATCCACCCAATTTTTTTTAAAAATAAATCAATAACTTTTATCATACAAACTAATAGCATTCTTTTCTATATAGAATGTTTTCACTTTTAGAATCTTCATTTTTGCCCCACCTCCCATTTTGAAATCTTATACATACAAAATTCAGATACCATATGCATTATCTTACATGTACAAAACAAACACTATGATAGCTTCTTTTTAAAAAAGGTTGCTTCCCAAGTCACTTATGAGCAAATTTAATATATCACCTTTTTAAAAAAATCTCAAGCGACTTTAATATCATTCTAAGTTTGAATACCAGAAACTTCTGTTTTTTTCCTCTATCCCAAGATGGTTTTCTTTTCCGAAGCTCAAGCCGAGAAAATAGACAAAAGAAGCCGATTCACTGAACCTTGCCAAGTCTTGCCTTTTTTCCCCTCTTTTCTTCAGCTTACACTACTCATTGCTCCCAGGATGGCAACCTTCCCAAGCAGTCTTGGCGGAGCTCCAGTCTGTGCTAACCTATCAGAAGTCCTTGTTTCTAATAGAAGTCCTTTGAAAATCAATATATTATGCATATACTCTGCACAATAATCGTTGTGCAGTATACCAACCATGATATCTGTAAGACAACTTGGCTGAATGAATGGGTGCTGCTGCCGGGATATGGTTTCTGACCAACGATGGTCAGAAACCATATCCTGGCAACAACTTCCATTCTCTTGCCAAACTCCAGTACAGACTTCATGGATTTTATATTGTAGGATAGTAACTTTTTTTTTCTTTACTCAGTAAGCCTGGGCAATTATAAGCAGCACTCAGCAATAAGAAATTTTCCTAGAAATGTCAGCAGAGAAGCTTTTCACATAGGAGGAGCTTCCTATTGCATAAACAACTCAAAACATTGTATTAAGATTTTCTTGACATCGGCTGATAGGATGGGACAGAATAGGATAGGACAACCGTTATTGTCACTTTTTTTCTATGAACACACTGGCACATATTAAAAAATGACATTCTGATGCCCGTTTTCAAAAGAAAATAAGCTGAAATGTTGAAAATCCACCGAACTAACAGCACTATCCAGAATAGAATGCTTTATCCAAGTTTCTGTTGCAATGATAACAAAGCAGTTTCTCACCTGCCAGTTTGTTAGTAACTCCACCTTCCTGTACTCCATTTTAGGCTCTAAGGAGCACATTAGCAAGCAAAATAGATGGTAATGAACTCTATATGGATTAGCCTTTAGCCTAGTTGTTAGCCCTCCATGTTTGCCTCGTTTCCTCTTTCGATCATACCGCCACCTCCTCAGAAGACGCTCAGCACCAGAGGGAGATTTCCCTGCTGCAAAGGCTGCTGCTCCCACTGCCTCAGCCACCTAAAACTCTGAAAGTGCTCTGCCAAGCACTTTCAGAGATTGCAGTCTATCTCATACCCTCCACACAACCCACCAACACTTCTGCTGCTTGCACCTTCAACCGAAGCAGTCTGAAGCAACACACTCTCCAGAATAGCTTTACCAATAGTTCCTCTCTTGCAAAATATCACCAAATCCAATACAGACTGACAGTCATAACAATTTTGTAATACAATTCCGCTTTCTTGTCACAATTCCCAAAGAATCACTCAAACCGGATGGCACTTTCATCTCCAAAACCCCAACACTCTTGAGAGCCGAAGCAGCTGCAGCTAAGCAAGATGCCACCATTTTAGAAAAGAACACAAACCATGAAAATTTAGATTTTAATTTAAACTAACAACAATCTTAAATTCAAATTATATTTAAGTATTTTTCAAAATGAAGCCAACTTACAATATCAGCTGTCTGGTTAGGTTTTTATAACCAAAATAAAACACTTACATTATGACTTAATGCAATACAAAATATTGAACTGTTTATTCATGTAAATCACTGTAAATTATGAATTATTGTTCATTAAATGCGTCATGGCTACCTACTCCAAAAATACAGAATTAAAACAGTTAAAAACATAAAACAAGACAGCCTGGACTTTTAAAAATCATAAAAATAAAAGGATGACAGATGCGCCACAGACATATTAACCCAGACTTAGGAGCAGAGCCAGGTCTTAAGGGCCTTCCAGAATACCAGGTAACTGGTCACTATATGTATCTCTGGGAGGATATGCTAGAGGGCAGGGTATGCTACAGATAAGGCATATTTCATGGTCCCATAATATATCATGAATTGAGGGGACCTGTAGCGTACCCATTCTGCCCAAACATAGCAGGCAGGTAGAAACAACTGAAGATAGGTAATCCCTCAAATAACCAACCCCTATGCTATTATATAGTAATATGTAATACCATGTTATAGTAATGTGAGCAGAATAATGTAATGCATGAATATAACCATAGTGTTTTATTCAATACAAGTAGTCCTCAACTTACAACCACAATTGGGACCATAACCTTGGTTGCTGAGTGAAGTGGTCAATAAGCAAGTTGTTAAGCAAACAAAGGGAAAGATGCCTTGTAAAGGAATTTTACAAGGAAATGAAATCTGGGTCTTCACAATCCTCACTTCCTTTCTTCAGCCCAGTTCATTTACCCTTGCCACTGCTCCCTATTTACAAAGGGCCATAGCAGCATAGCCTAGGGTTGTCTACTCAGCCCCCTGCATCTGCTCCGATTGGGCAGGTCTCTGTGGGGACAGAAGAAAGCCTGACCATACTGCATCTAGGGAAGTAGAGAATTCCTCAGTATTCATAGTATCCTCCCAAGATTATTCCTCCTGCTGTACCCTTTCCAGTCAATAATGAAGTACTCAAGATGACTCAATACTGATGGAAGTCCAGGATCTATCTGACCTCATGTTTCTTCAAGTTGTCTATCAACAATGATGGAGATGAGGCAGCACTGTTATGTGCCTGGTGTGCTGGCACATTTAGGACCAAGAATGGAAGTGAATGATAGGATGGAGCAAACAGAAGAGTGGAGCTGGGCTTATAGGGACAAATTTGATCTGTGCTCCACACGATTTCATGTCTCAGATTAGATTGATTACAAAATCATAGGGCAGGTAGAGGGACCCAGAACTCCAAAAATTGTCCATATCTATCAGTTCAACTTTCATTTTTATAAAATAACTGTTGACAAACAACTTTTATGAACAATCCATTGCTGCAAACGAGCAGCAAAGATTTCTTCTTTCAGCATTAAATGATAATTCTTTAAACTATCCTCCATGTCAAGAAATCCACAGTTCTTGAAGTTTCGATAGATTCCAAAAACTGAGGATACAGGCAAGAAACCATACACTTGTTTAGCAGATAATGATTGCCTAAGAATCATATTAACAACTGATAGTCACACTGGACTCAGTCATAAAGAATCCAATATTTTATATGTGGTAAAATCAAAGAGTCATACAGTTATTATAATTCAATGTAAACCACAAATTAAACGAATGACTTGAATGCAACTTAATTGTTAAGCAGCATCAGTTTTATTCACAATAGACATTACACTAAAATTGATAAGAAGTTTCCCGTAACAGGGATTAAGAAATTATTATTTGATGTAATTCCTGTTACGTGAGAAGTAGAGACACCATAGAGACTTAATTAAAAGAAGCAAACCCAGAAGCCATTGTGCACAAGATATAATGTAATCTCTAGTATGCTGTTTTATTAATGTTACTAAAGCTCTTAGCATGGCTTGATATGCCACATCAACATTTCATCACACAGTTATAACACATGAAACACTATCCTTTTAAAAAATGTAATATTTGGGAAATAGGTATAGATGACTGCAAGATTTTTTTCTCACTTTGGCATTTAGTGTCACTTCATTCATGAGTAAGTATTTTCAATAGTATTTTTAAGATGCTGCTTTTGCCAGCAGTTTTAAATTCTCAATGCATTATCAGTTTGCAGGAGGAATATAAAACTGTACCTGGGTTTAGATACACATTGCATAACTCTATTTTGGTTTATTGTGCTTTGCCAGATGCAGTTGCTGTCTTAAGTGTTCAATACTCCACCAAATGCAATTTACTTGAATAAATTAGTTAAACAAATTGCAAATTAGCCTGCAATACGAACATAGCCAACATTACATAGGATTCCTCACTAAGCTTTGACAAAGTTCATATAGAATCTACTGCATGTGAATGTTGAAACGGAGATGAATGTTGCCCCCCTGCAGTCGGCAAAAACTAATGGAGTAAAATCCACAGGGACTCCCATATGAATGTTATTAAAAATTATTTAATGTGCAATGCCATTGTCTAAGAAATATAGAGAAAATACTTAAAATTATCTCTGCCATTGAGTTCATGAATCCACAAATATTTGGATTCAAAAACAAGCTGTTGTATATTTAATCAATTCACAAAAGAGGAAATTCTAGCATATAAATTGCATTGCTGACCTCCAAAATACAATGCCCAACTGTCAGAAAGTGAAATCCAAATAGCATCTACTTCAGAGTCTCCAAACCAATATATCTACAGTAAATATTCAGCAGTCCCTTCAATTCACCCACTTTCCAGGATTTTTTTAAAAATGTTCTGTAAAAATAGAATAAATTCTCAGTCCAACACAGTTGAGAGAACTGTTTGTTTTTTCTAGATCTCAACAGTGGGAAAATAAAATCCATCTCCATCTTTGCTAAAGTTAATGAAAAATCAAAGTGCTATATATATATATATATATATATATATATATATATATATATATATTCTTTTTTATAACTTTCTTGCTCTTAAGGAAGAAAGACTGTAAAAAACAAATAAAACTACATGATATTTTCTTTCAGCAAACTGTACTCTGATTACAAAGCCATCATAAATCTTCTCAGAGAAGAAATCCAGCTTCAGAATTTCAGTATAATGCAAACAGCAATGTAAGAGGACCTAATAAGCAACTTTTCAAGAACTGCAGGAATTGAACTGGAACAGAATCTTCTAAATGAGAAAGGCTTACCAATGAATACTGCAAGATAATAAGAATGTGCCAGATATCCAGATAATATTACCTCAGAAATTGTAGCTTTTAAGTATGTGCTTTGACATGTTGCTTTCTTTAAAGCTTTTATATTAAGAAATTCCAAGTGCCAGTCATAAATTCTCTTTGCACTATTAATCCATAAAAATATATTTTATTTTCAACAAAAGAATGTAATGTAAAGACTGAGTGCATATGAATGAAATCTTTTAAAGATTTTTTTTAACCATTTATGTTTCATACAATATAAATGCTAGAAGGCAGTGAACTGATTCAGGGACTGTATTAGTTACAATGCGGTTTACTGTACTCATAATGCATTATATGAACCCACCCACTGTATTTGTAAACTATGATTTAACATGTGTGAATCGAGCCAACTGTGGTTTTCTTGAACAAATTTCATTAAGAAAACCAGCTAAGTGTGATGTATGGAGCTAGCCAATTTATTGGCAATCTAGTCCTAAACGTATAGATATAAAAGGCTCAGAAAGCTTTAGGAAAAAATTATCCTAAAGGACAGGACATCTCCACTTGGTAGTTACTACAGATGAATTGTAGTATTTATTACATGCATTGCATAAGGCCTCACTTCATTTCACATTCACTTCTATTTCCCACTTAAAACTGAAAGGATTACTGGGGATAAAATAAATGTGCCCTAGAGAATATGCCCAAAATTTCTGTTACTAAGCAAGACAGTTATGTGAGTTTAGCCCATTTTACGATCTTTCTTGCCACAGTTATTAAGTGAATCACTGTAGTTACATTTATAACATGGTTAAGTCAGTGGTGAAATCCAAAATTTTTTACTACGGTTCTGTGGGCGTGACTTGGTGGGCATGGTGTGGCTTGGTGGGCATGGCTTGGTGGGCGTGGCAGGGGAAGGATACTGCAAAATCCCCATTCTCTCCCTACTCCTGGGGGAAGGATATTGCAAAATCTCTATCCCCACCCCACTCTGGGGCCAGCCAGAAGTGGTATTTGCCGGTTCTCCAAACTATTCAAAATTTCCACTACTGGTTCTCCAAACTGCTCAAAATTTCCACTACCGGTTCTCTAGAACCTGTCAGAACCTGCTGGATTTCACCCCTGGGTTAAGTGAATCTGGCTTTCCCATTGTTTTTGCTTGTCAAAGAGTGATCACAATAGCCCCGGGATTCTGCAATCTTTATAAATACAAGCCAGCTGTCAAGCATCCAAATTTTGATCATATGACCATGGGGATGCTGCAACAGTCATGAGTGAGTTAGGTCACTTTTTTCAGTGCTGTTCTAACTTTGAATGGTCATTAAACAAATGGTTGTAAATTAAGGACTACCTGTATGCATTTTCTCCCTTGACGTACCAGAAAATGTGCAATAAAAGAAACCTTCCTAGCCTAGATTCATAACCTAACCTAACCCAGCCCAGCCTAGTCTAGCCTAGATTCATTCTTAAACAGTATCTTAAAACATTCATCAAGCATATTGTATTGAATTCCCTATCTACGTGCCCTGTTGGCTTTGGCAATGCTAACTAAGGAAGCAGGAACATGACGTTAGTATACCCGTAGTAAGCAGATATAAAATGCAATTAAGAACAATATAGTTACAGAAATAAGAGGAATAATAAAAAATATTTCAAGAA